TCTTGCCTTCTATGGATCAGTGCCACTATTGTTTTGTATTAAATTTAATAAACCAAAGCTGGTCACAGAAATATATGAGACTTACTTTATTAATATACATTTATAGGCAATTTCTATCATATAGTATTTTTCTTGTTACATACATCAGCTAGAAGTAGATATCATTACTAGAGTATGTAATTTCTGATAAAATGGTATGTGCAGATAATTTCGAAGATGCATCATGCCACATATTGAATTGTTTTTTCGTGATATACCTATGTTTTGCAGATTGAACTAATCTAATATATGAGAATTTTTTCGTTGTGAGTGAGGTGTTAACACTTTCTAACATATATTATGTTGTGCCAATAATGATATTTTCTTCAACACTATATATGATTTGTTTTTCCAATCTATATATATATATGTATTAATTACTCTTACAACAAGATATATCAAGTTCTTCAATTTACATATTTATACTAATTTAACCGTCGGGTGTACAAGTATACATAAAAGAATGTGTGTATGTATTAGATGGATACACTACTAGTATTTTGTATTGTGGCGTGAGTATGATAATGAGGGACAGGGTTAACTTAAATCACCATGGATTACAGCTGTTCTTTATTAAGTCTGACTAATTTGCTTTGAAAACAAGTAGGAGTACATGGCAAAGAATGATATAATATAAGATCTGGTTTATGTATCCCAAGGATAAAACAAAACAAGAATTGAAGCTTCTATACCCTCAAATTGCAGTCAAATGTTGGGAAGAAAAATGATGTCTCGTACCTTGAATTATGCTCCCACTTAGTTTTTTATTGCATCAATTTCAGTGCAGTTTCATTAAACTTTTAGCAATACGATTTTATTTAACCAAGTTTTAATGTTATTTATTTAGACAAATGACACAGAAGTTAGCTCAACTTTGTTCCCTAATTACTAAAATTACTTAATTCGATATTTCATAAGGTTAAAATGAAAAGCTTAACTATATGATTGATATGGTGCATTTTCACTCACGTTTTAGTTATTAGTACTCAACATTTTTGCAAGACAAGTTTTATGATATTATCATATTAGTTTAAGGTTGAAATATAAACACGTAAATACATTACACACACATAAAAGTTTGTAAGTCCTACAAATATTCTTGGAAGCACTCCATATTTCCATCAAACAATAATGTTTGAAATTCGTATAAAATGTATGGGGACTTCTAAATTATGGATAAATTTCCGGATATATAGTTGTAATAACTCACGAAATCATCCACGTAAAAGAACAAAGTCAAATACAAACAAATAAATTACTTAGACTTTGAGTCTTTGACAAAAAGAATTAGAACGCAAAAAAGAAGATAATAATGAGAACCTTACGTATGAGGAGTTGGCACGTGCGGTTCGAAGAAGCAAAATCCTGAAAGGCCGCGGAGAGAAGCACGTGATGGTCCAACACCAAATCCACAATTCAAGGTTCCTCGTTTGACTTAATACTTCATCTTGAGATTCGCGCCAAAATTGAGCCATTTCTCTTCTTCTTCTTTTTTACCATACGTAAAACTAACAAATATGATATTATGGTAAGCTTTAGTCCCCTGAATTCCATGTAACACACACGAAACACAAAAAAACATTGGATTCTCGTGGTAAATCATCTCATCATAGCAATTTATGAAACTTGCAAAGCTTTTTTGTTGCTTAATATTAATTACAGTAATCTTATTGTCATTGAGATGTGCCGTTGCCTTCACGAAGACGTGATGCATTAAACACTTATTAATGGGGGTTTAATCATATAGATACCAACATGTTCTGAAACTTATATTGATATTTTATAATCCCCATTATGGCTTAGTGTACGTATAACTTCAAAAGTGATACGCTCCTATTAGCTACTATATATAAAAAAAAGAAAGATATATGTGTGTTTGTACACAGTTTCGTTTCAGGTGGATTACTGGATCAGCTGGTTATATATTGTAGTTTATAATGAGGAAAACTGATAAATAAATAAAAAAACGAGGAAATTTTTCCT